ATTGCCTAATTTATCGCCATCGGGTCTGCTTCGGACAAGGGAGGGGCCAAAATTAGGAAGAGACCATTTTGCACATTGATAAGTAGAATCATGCCATTTAATACTCAATAGTCGGAACTTGAACTGGATTTACTGTGTTCGTCAAATTTAGGATTTTACTGTTTGTAATAGCAGCCTTTATACAGCGATGCACAAATTTGTTACATCGCCAGGATTACGATACAAATTATCAGTTGTAATGACCAAAATATGGTTCACTCCATGAATATTTGACCACAGATTTTTAATAGTAAAATATAATCAACATTACATCAGTTGTCAAATATACTGTTTTCTACACACTCACACACACACACACACACACACACACACACACACACACACACACACACACACACTGACACACGCACATTCACTCAAAATGTAAACCACAGTGTTGAACCACTGGTGAAACGAGACTTTGATTCTCTCCTCACCCCTTCAAACAAAAAGCCTTACGTAGATATCATTGTCACGCTTGTGTTTTTGTAGAATATAGAATATTTTTGTAGAATATATAATAGCTTTATGTTAAGTGTTCTGTTGTATTGTTGTTATTTTATGATAAATGTTCTGTAAAGCGCTTGGTTACAGCTGCAGTTGTGAAAGCGCTATAAAGATAAAGATGTATTGTATTGTATTGTATTGTATTGTATTGTATTGTATTGTCCAGTTCTTTCGGGGTCAAATTGTATTCATTCGCGCCCCTTACTGATCAGATTTTTTTTGTGGTTGAATGGAAAAGCTTTATTATTTACAGCTTCTCAGAAAAGACCAGTGAAGTTCATTTAGTTTGAAATGCCTCCTTCCTTGTCAAAATGCTTCACGGAAACGGAAAGGATCTGCATTAAATGCGGATGGACTCTGAGAGAGGTGGGGGGAGGGGGGTCTCACCGTCTATTTGGGGCGTATTCGTATTATTCCTAATAAAAAATTAACGCCTCGATTTAATTTCACGTGAATTTTTAAAAATATATATCAAATTTCACGCAAATTTCTCATCTTAATACGATGGTCTAAATGGCTTAAGGTAGTGGGTCAATAACACGTATATACTCTACGTGCACTTATGGAAAGAAACACACACCACCGGTGAACTAATAATCAGCATCTTATTCGTTCTTACTCTGATTTTAGTTTTTGAGAAACATGCACCTCCCTCTTCGGTTGCAGGTATCAACAACGGCCAGCTCTCCTTCTCTGCATGCCTGATGCTCGCGGGGCTTTCAAGTCAGAGCGCAGAAATCATACGGCGGTCGCTGCTGTCAGCAGCAGAAGCTATCTGCAGCTCTACAGACATGCAGCTCGTCCCCTGAGCATTGGCCAGCGGGCGATAATATCTCAAAGGGATTGGTTATCGCCACACATTATAATCATTAGTGAACCCAGCCCTTTAACCCCCCAACTGCAGAATAAGCACACACACGTCATTAATCTAAACTAAGGGTTTGGCTTTCGTGCTTTCTTTCCAACGGCCATTGTCTAGATTTCGTTCCTGACATTGGTTCATTTCGTATAGCGCAAATACAGTACATTGCAGTACATTATATGGAATTATTAATAGTAATAGAAATAGTTGTGGTTGTTCTACATGTTTTGGGAGTCGCACCTGTCACGACACATCGTGAACTTCATGGATTTGGTATTGTGACGTGTGCGGTGAAAGCTAGAATGGAAATAAATTAATGAAGAGAATTATTCGTGCCTGCTCCCTGTTTTCCATAACAAGTGCTGCATTTACCTCTATCGATGAGTCAACCAATCTGTCAAAATGTATGGATGAGAGAAGGAATATTCAAGAACATCAAAATGCTCAACAAAAACAAAAATTGGATGGTAGTAACTAAAAACTTCTCTGTTCATCATAAATTTGAGCAATAAGTAAATGCGCCAACACGGTGCTTTGGAAGGGTTTTCAATTTTTCGTTATGATGAATACGACTACACACAAAAAAAATGCATCATTCCGTTAAATATACAGCGCACATTGTTTGACACAGCAACACGGAGTTCTTTAGAAGGGTAACCTAAGGTTATCCCAACCCTAATGTGCGCTATATATTTAACGAAGTGATGCATACAGTTTATTAATTTATGACGGAAGTGACGCGTTAGGCTACTCGCCGTAGCTTCAGGTTGAGTGCCGAGACAGAATGCGGCTTCACGATTCATTCCGCCATACTGTGCTGCAGTGGTCTTGAAGCGACAGCGACGTGGAGCGACACACTGCCACACTCCATAGTGGCCCGTAATATATCGAAATATCACCTTTCTGAAGAAGGGGAACTGAACACCGAAAGAAATCCAGTGTATTGTGTTGTACTCAACGGGATGCGACAGAACCAGGGATGCATTATAAAACCTCGGGAACAACTTTCCGAAATCCAGTGTATTGTGTTGTACTCAACGGGATGCATTATAAAACCTCGGGAACAACTTTCTTTCTCCCCGGAGTGTATTTTTGAATTTCAGACATAAATATACCCATAATATGTATATATTTTTAAAGGCCTGTGTACTGTCTCGCATCTTCTTTGGTCGGATTGTATTCGCCATCGAGAGGAGTGAGTGACACCGTGCAGGGATTTGATGCTAATGATTTGGACAAAACCCTCCAATTCGGGTCGTCGAGACAGCCTTTGAACGTGGGTTCAAGTGTGTGTGACTGTGCGTGCGTAAGGAGGTGGTGTTTGGGGGTCGAGGGGGACGGGGTGGTTTGACTGACTATAGACTCGGATCGAACAGCTGCAGGCATATACGGTCTATAAATCCCATTGAATTTCTCTCAATGCAGGCCGGGACCGGACGTTATGAGTCGAGAAAATGTTTGCTTACAGTTACTGTCGGCTCAATATATCCACGATGAGTTCTCATCGCGAATATATTTGACTGATGATCCACAGAGGATGGGGGAAGGGAAGACGAGACAGGAACTGATGTTGGATGTCAACTTCATGTTTAATTTAAACAGCAACGGAATATCTGTCATAAATTAACAAATTAATTTTTGTTGTCGAAAGACATTAATCGGTGTATTTTTTTAATTGTTTTTTGCTGTTTTGACAATTAAAATTCATTTAAAATTATATGTGCTTGTTTGTTTGTCTGTTTGTTTTTAAAGACAACGGAATTTAGCTTTTACAGGGCTGAACCCCGCCGCCACCAGCTCTTCACTGTTTGGTGAGATACATATTTCTTCTATGCGTGTGTTTACAACCGGCATTCTCTGAGTACAATTTTATGGTTACGGAGACACGGTTTTCTGAACCTTCTCAGCAAAAAAAAAAAAAAGAACGAAACAAAAAAAACATAATTCAATTACAGTTTCCACATATTTGCAATGCGGATGCGACACCAAACCCACTCCTTGACGCGTCATTCTTAGGTGGTGATCTTGAGTCTTGAAAGTGAGCCCGGGGAGGAGACGGTAGACAAATAAACGTGTCATAAAAATTAATGATTGCATGCATCTTCACCGTCTCATTCATTATCTCAGATTAATTATCTCGCCGTGTGCCAGTTCACTTGTCTGCACTTCATAAACCCTAAATCTCCTGGGCTGCTTTACAACGGTGTGGCCCGGGAATCGAACAGTCGCATATTCACTTTGTTAACGGTAGCCGACAACAGAAATAGAAAGCAAAATAATTGAGCCGAGAATACTGTAACCCCCCCACCACCCAAATTCGCAAACAAACCGGAATAGCATCTGTCGGTATCACAGCCTCAGGTCATTTTTATTAGCAGTATTATTATTTCAGCATAAGTAGAAGATCCGCACTGCTAATCGCTGTAAAATTGATTAATACGAATAGAAACTTACGTCTGTATATGGTGAGGATAGGTATTTTATTTCTTCTTCCTGCTGTCGTTTATCATCAACATCATTTATTATTATTATTATTATTATTATTATTATTATTATTATTACGGCTCCATTTAGATTTAAACTATCACAACAATGATGATTATAATTATTATTATTATTATTGTTGTTATTATTATTATTATTGTTGTTGTTGTTGTTCATTTAAAAAGTGAAATTCCTTGAGGGCGGTCAGGATATTTTAAGCCGATACAATACATCCATTTCGATTTGGTTCTATTTGCGGACAGGCATGACTGTGATGGCTTTGGCTCCGGTATTTTAAATCACTCAGAGACTATCTCCATTGACAGACGTTCGAGGCGTGTAGAAATAGACCCACGACTTTTGTCGTTCACGTGCATGCTAACGAGTTGATGTTGGCGCAGGGCCAACGGCTGAAAGGTGGCGGGGGGTTCTAATCATAGTATCCCAAAAACACGACAGACGAGTTCTCCCTGCTCGGTCGTCATTGAGCAGCGACAAGAATAATTAATGTTTGAAGCCTTATCGGTCTTCTTTTTCTATCAGTCCTTTAACACATGTCTTGGTAAAAAGGGGGTGATCCCACGGGCGCCGAGAGGCAGCTGGACAGGGAAGGGAGGGAGGTTTTCATACGGAGTAGCCCAGAAGGGGATGCTGCAGGGCGATAGATAATAAACGCGTCTCGATATCGCCTTTTCATCTTCGCTGCGCACGCATCTTGCTTATTTAATTGAGGTCCGATTTCTAATCCAGCATTTTCAACTTTCACATGTCACTCGACAATAATAAATGATAAAAAATATCGGTCTGAAAATATATTGGATTCAATTTTGCCCTTGTAAAATAGTTCGGAAAGATGATTAAACCCCCAAACGAATCAAAAAGACCAAAGAAGTGATTTTGAATAAGAAATGACAGTTAATTCAATTGCAGCTAGAATCATTGAACTAACTTGGTCTTGAAACGGATTGATGCTTCTCTGTTGAACGGCCAGAGATATCTGGGCCACAAACCACCGAGCATAGCTGTTAATAATTTTAGAGTATCTTTCTCTTGAAACTTCTGCTACCCTGCATAAAGGAAAACAGAATAGATTTTGAAAAACGGAAAAAAAAACGTCTGCCTAAAAGAAACAGCATCGCCTGAAGCTAAACCAATACATTATTTATAGTTAAAAATGTTTTGCAGCCTCTGGAGCGCAAACTTACAATATTGCTGTACCCACGACTTATAATAACTGAAATAATTGTCTCAAAACATCTTTATTCTTACAACAAATGTAGATAGTATAAGTTTCAATTTCACATTTGTGGTTCGAAACATAAAGAGAGAAATCAGCCATGCAACATGCACCTCCGGCTCACGGATCCTGTAAGACGCTACCTGCGCACGTTCCTCCTTCAAGTCCCCTCCCGCCCAGAGGACAAATATGCTCAACAGCCGAATAGAGGCACCTCTTCTGCCATGGCAGGTCGCCCTCAGCCTCCACTGCTCGCCCAAAGACACTTTGAATGAACACATGATGAGTTTGTGGGGATACTTGGTGATGGGAAGGCTTGAATAGCAGCCAGAGCTTGGGTGAGTTAAGGTGGGGCTGCTGTGGATGCTTACTGGTATCACGCAGCGCTGATTGGTCGAGCCGAGGAATGACGCCAGAGGGCTGGCAATATGGTACAGTCGGCGTTTCCGGAGGCAGGCATTGTACTTTGAGATCTATCGCATCACCACGTAGCCGCACGGAGACGGGGTGGGCATGCATCCCGCCTTTACACACATTGACTGGAGTCACCAGTGCATCTTGGCCAGCTGAGCACAAAGGATCGTTAACTGTGGATACGCTTACCATTGCCGGCGTTACATTGAATTCACTATTTTCAAGCGCTAGTTTGGTTGGGTGACATATCTGCATTTTGAGGTATTTTCATCCACAAGACGGTTTGTTTCCGGCAGGAAAGCCAAACCAGGTCGAAGTCAACCCGGCTACTTCTTTTTTTTTTTTTTGAGCCGGGTGCTGAAATCTACATTATTATTGTTATTATTTTTTTTAATACACCACCAGGCTTCCTCCGGATCCAAAGAGGGACTGTTTCTTTCTTCACCAATGAGATACAGCGCAGACGCCATCCATTCTTTTCTGTGTTTCGGACGGTAAACCTTCACTACGCATGCAGGAAGAAATCTGGGGTGACACCAGATCGACCAGCGTCAGCACGCACATTGACCGCGGGGAGCCCCAGGCGAATGACAGAGCTACGAAGGCGGCCATTGCTTGGCCCGTGTTGTTGAATTGTCGTGCGTGAGCACCGTTATTGGAGTTGTGACCAAGCCAAAGCCATGGTGCACTGCGCTGGGTGCGAAAGGCCTATCCTGGACCGCTTTCTGCTCAATGTGCTGGACCGAGCCTGGCACGTCAAGTGTGTCCAGTGCTGCGAGTGCAAATGCAATTTGACAGACAAATGTTTTTCTCGAGAGGGGAGATTATACTGCAAAAATGACTTCTTTAGGTAAGCTTCACACAATGATCACAACAAGCCACCGATGAGTCTTAGATTGCATTATTCTAAATTGTAGAAAACGCCAGATGCCTTTTTTGTTTTGTTTTGTTTTGATTTTTAGGAAAGCCTTTAATAGACTTCAATCTTAACAAAAGGAAGCGAGAAATACTGCTGTGGATAAAATATGCACATATATTATTTTAATATTCTGTCGTATAGTTTTCAACTTTATTTGCTAATCGAATTTTGATCCAGTTTAAAATGCACCAACATCAACATCTCTCTATCTATCCATCGATCTATCTACAAATGAAAAAAAAATGTCGTCCCATTTATTTCTCGTGTTTATTTTTCAATATTTTCCAATGCACTGAACGCACAGCGGGTGCGTGAAGGTTAAATCGAGGACTTGCAAGACAACCAAATTTGAGTAGGGCGGCGTAATTAAAAGCTTCCTCATTTGGATTATTATGCAAAACATCAGAAACATTAAACGCGTGTGCGTTGACTCAGCAGGGAGGCTCGTTGGGAAATTGAGGAAATCACACTTTAAACAAACAAGCGATGTGAGGCGCCCAGGATCAAACCCGGGCCCGAGCAACAGCCACAGCCCGGTGGTGTTTGCTCAGTTCGGCCGCGACACGATAAGTGGATTTGAATAGCAAACTGTTTAAAAGAAGATCAGGTCCACAAACAATGCGATTGCAGACGGCAGTCAACAAAGCATAATACAATATACACTCAATACACATCGCTTAACGCTGAGGTAAAATACTGCGGCTCAGTTTGAGCCGCAGTATTTTCCTTCGAGCCTCCACTTCTTCGGATTTTAATTCATGCGCGCTATTGTTTCATTTCACGACCGAAACCATGTGACACAGATATATAAAATAATATTTTTTTAAAATGTTTTCCATTTGAGTCTTGAAAACACCTTATCTATATTTACGTAAGATTGAATTAAGACCCCAACATTATTTACGGGATATAAATATTTACGTTGTTAATGTTCCGAAGTAACTGTAATTTGTTTATGTTTATGATAATGCTAAGAGAATTTTTTATTAAAAAACAATTTTTTATAAAAAAAAAAAAAAAAAAAAACCCCCCAAAAACATTCACAACCAATATTCTATCTGGGGAAATCAGACGAGCCAATAATGTATTTTGTCGAATCATTTGTATAGGCCCAAATATCTTCCAAAAACTAGAATATTGACGTACTCGGTCCCAGTTCCTTTTCTTCGTGCGTAAACATAACTCAAGATGACATGTAAGCAATGACGCCAGTTTATTCTCCTCGTGCAGGCGGTTCGGCACCAAGTGTGGCGGGTGTTCACAGGGCATATCTCCAAACGACTTGGTCCGGAGGGCTCGAAGCAAAGTGTTTCATCTCAACTGCTTCACGTGCATGATGTGCAATAAGCAGCTTTCGACCGGCGAAGAGCTCTACATCATAGATGAAAACAAATTCGTTTGCAAAGACGATTACCTGAGCAACAGCAGTGTAAAAGACACAAACCTCCTTTCAGGTAAGAAACCCCGAGTGGAGACATTACATGTATCCGTTTTGCTCAGGTGTGTGTGTGTGTGTGTGTGTGTGTGTGTGTGTGTGTGTGTGTGTGTGTGTGTGTGTGTGTGTGTGCATTTATGTGAAATAGACGGGGTAAATTAATGATAGATGGTGAAAGATGTGCTGTGGCTTGACAAAGAGGTTTTGAGAGAAATGTGGTAAAACAAATGACATATGAATCTAAATTTAGAAATGCTGATGACGCTATTTGCCCCTTGATAGCATTATTTGGATTACTTATTTTATTTGTTTCCAAGACATTTTCAGTAAAAGCCAACTACAAATACAGTATTAAAATTTTACACTTATCAGTTACAATGTGCAAAGATGAACTCATTTGACACCCCTTGTCACACACACACAGGCGTGCGCGCGCACGCTCACGCAAACTCGCGCTACCCATTGCTATTGTGTCATTTCAGTTCTCATTTTGATTTTACATTTTAGTAACGGCATGCAGCGACCCGAGTTTATCTCCGGATTCCCAAGACCACCTCCAGGACGACGTGGTTCTTAAGGAAACGGAGATTGCCGCCCTCTCGGATAAGGAAACTGTAAATAACGAGAACGACGACCAGAATTTGGGCGGCAAGCGGCGAGGCCCGCGGACGACAATTAAGGCCAAACAGCTGGAGACGCTAAAGGCGGCCTTTGCTGCAACCCCCAAACCCACCCGACACATCAGGGAGCAACTGGCACAGGAGACTGGCCTCAACATGAGAGTTATTCAGGTAAACGAAAAAAAAACATATTCGTTTGTTCCTTTCAACCTTTCACAATCTAATTGTGTTATAACAAACTAAATTTTGTATTGTTGATGTGATAGACTGTTGTGAATGGTTTAGCATGAACGCGAATAACGAGGCCGTCCCAAAAGCTTTTGAACGAAACATGATGGAAATAAAATTCGGCGGCTACACTCAGCCCTCATGGGTGGGCTTTTATGTTACGAGGTCATTAGGTGTGACACGACCAACAGGTTATGGAAAGGTGACAAGCCAAACCAACAGACAGAGCCCCCCCCC